AAATGCTGACTTGCGAGTCACGCATTGCTTGGTTCTTGACTTGAGGCTCGTGCCAAATCTCTTAGGATAGCCAATTCAGCGCACCGCAGTTACTGTAAGCAGGTTGGTGCTGGTGGGCCTCATATTACCGCAATGGCAAAGTAGACGAGAGGAGGCAGTTCAAAGGCTCACTCGTTGTATTGTACCTTTCAATATATTCGAGAAGTTAGGTTGAATGGATTCATTATTCGGTCGCACCCCAAGCTGAAGCGAGATGGCCCAGGGCGGGGGAGCAGGAAGAAACGCCGAGTGGGCGGAGGTGGCCTGATTATGGTTAGGTCTATCACACTTCACAAAACTCTTGAACATTCATCTGAACACTTAATATTTTCACCGCAACCAAAGGAGACTGCCTCAGGGGCAGCGTAAGCCAGAAGGCTTAACTAAAGCCAGACGACAACTGGTCAAGAGGAATCCGCAATTATCTTCTGATATGATCAACGAATCTCTTCATAACTCATCTTTACTCAAAGTGGAGATAGCTTAGCATTTGTAAATCAACGGATTCCTCGAAAACCAACTCTTGTTCTATCTGTCTATCTATCTATCTTTCTATCTATCTAAATCATATATATATATATATATATATATATATATACATGAAAAATGCATGTGATTAAGAGAATGGAGCAGCTTTTCGAGCATAACTGATTCTACTTCTTTTTTCTGCAACCGTATAGTGATGTCTCAATGAGTGAGTAAAGTACGGGCCATCAGAGCCTCATATTTGACGAAGCTTTCTTAAGGAATGGTTTCATGCCCTGACGATGCCTGCCAAGGCGGGCCAGGCAAAAAAGCCTCGGGACTTTTAAAAGTCGCGGGACGATTCGCAAATGGCTTTTAGGCCAAGACGGACTTCCTTGGGATTCCGGTGAGGCCAATTTGCAAGGTGCTTCCAAGCACCTATTAAGAGGAAATGAAAGGTACACCAACGGGAATTCACTGATAACACTCTTTTTGCACACACACATTTAGTCTGTCCCAGATTCGTCGTTAAGACGTCAAATACCTCGCCAAAAACTACTCTGCAGAGAAGTGACTAGACTAGCTCAAGCGTTTGACTCATTGCTCAGGGGAAAAGCGTCAGAAGTGGCTGTCCAGCTTTCAGGAGATTCTGCTGAAACAACGTTTCAAGTGTTCAAACTCGATCCGCACAGACTTCGTGTATACGCTTGGCCCGGAGGCGCTTTTAATTCCGTGGAGAATTTGGAGTTTCGTTTTTTGTTGTGGATGTATGTCGTCCATCAGAGCGCCGGCCGGAAGATGGAAAGCGATTAGTCACAACCTTAGCCTCTCGATCAGAGCGTTTCGACGACGGTGAACTAATTTCGGAGTCCATTAAATCCGATTTTTTTAGAAGTTGTTTGACCTTGTTTTCACAACTTGGTCATATTGGTAAAAAGACTTAGAGGAGCGTACCTAGTCCGGAGTCCATTGTATGCATGACAATTTCCAAAGTCAAACCTTGCATGTGGTAAATTCCCAGACGTTTCGCCGGCATCGTAGTTGGCATAGTCAGTGAGTCGTGTCATTCATAGCACCATACAACAATTCGTCAAAAGGACAAGTGAAGCCGATCCTTTGACCAAATGTGTTCTAAATAGTTGTGCTATCTCTCCTTTTGTCCTGGGCTATTATAGTATTATGACCAAGTTGCGAAAGGGGACTGCGACCACACAATAGGCCACACCATTTTAATCTTCATATCCTGTTTTTTTTTGCTTGCTGGCCACACGACCCGAAAAGGCATCTGATGCTTTTGCCAAGTCATGCCCGAAGGCGCCCACGGCGCCTGTGATCGGACCCACTTTGGGCCAGTCCGCCGCATCGATCGATCAGCCCAACAGGCATCTTTATTCAGCAGGCTCGTGCAATTATCGACCGCAGACGCTCTGACGAGGCGAGACTTGTTCACGCATGACGGCATGCCCTCGCTTTGCTGGCCTATGCTAACTGGCCGCAAAAGTAGCCAATCATGTCCACGCTTTGTCAGGCGACCGAACCGCCCTCAGGGACTAACCAGCTCTGGAGTGTCATCGAGACTCCTATCTAGCGTCGAGAAAAGCGCACACCTCGGTCCTCGTTGTTGTGACGCCGGCAGACGAAAACAGACTTAAGAGTCGTAAAAATCACAGATTTGCAGACTGTCTCCGTTGGGACATGAGCTGCATGACCCGGTCGGGTACGCAGAAGCACCCTCGAGAAATGACGGCGAAGTCGCAGGTTTTGACAATTTTCCGGTCTTTGTGAGGACAATTTTCTGGCAAACTAGGCTGGCAGACGGAGAGGCTCGAACGGAAACCATTAAGAGTGCTTCATCAGTTGGTTCGCTCCACATTTCGCATAAACTACTAAATTATCCCGCCAAGTTTAGTAATCCCTAACAGAAATACGGCAACATTTTGCATCAATGCGTTGAAGGCTTTGGGGATTTGTGCAATTTGATGCTCGAGAGAATTCAGACAGTGGGAGTTCTCAGGCCTAACAATTATTCGTCACGCAAAATAAACAATATGGTAAGCATCAGCAATTCTCGATGAACTGTGAGTAAACTTAATAGCGTTGAGCTGTTATTTTCCGTTCTTGTGAACAATAATGTGTTAAAGAGTTTCACAGCTCGATCTCACGAGCTGAGGATGGTGGGCCACCCCGGTCTGTCGCTCGATTAGCCTGGGACTTCTATGCTGAACCCCCCTCGTCTGAAGCAGATAGAAGGTTCTCACTTTCCTTCTGCCATGTCAGCTGACAGACAAAATCATATTTTAAGTATAAATAAGCATAGGGCCATCAGTAATTCTTGAATGATAACTTAACCAGCCATTGCATCCGGTGTTTTTACTAATTTTGGACATAAGTAGTCTCAGGGCCATCGAAAATTCTTGATTGATCAGCAAAAAAGCCACGGATGCAAAGGTATGCAGATTCTGTCACAACTCCTATTCGAATAAAGGGATTGTCGAATGAGGTGGCCTATTTTCGGTGAAAGTAGGTTTCGAAGATACTACTCAGCTACACCTTGACCCACTGACATTCGTGGCTCGAAACCCAGTAATATCGAAACTAGGCAACATCATTAAGTACAATGACAGATACATGTTTGCCTAATCGACAAACGCACTTTTACTATGTGAACTGGATGAGACCTTACTTGCCTTACAATTAGCATCTTCGCTATAACCCACTGACACACGTAGCTGCATGAATAAGTAGTCAGAAAGTACTGAGTCTCGAAGCCTACTTATACCGGAAATTGATACAATAAAAAATAAATGTTTGCTCAATCGATAATTCCGTCATAAAAATGTGATATGGAAGGGGATTTGCATGCATTGAATGTTTGATCTGCCAAACATCAAGTAAGCATGCACTTGTAATTGTACTAAACGGCATTACTTACTGTCGGTATCAGTAGTTTTCAAAGCCATTATGAATACTTGAATATTCAGCCACACGGCTAAGTGTTACAACGGCCATTAGCTGTGTGGATGAATATTCAAGTATTCCTGATGGCCTAGAAATTACTAGCACCTACTGTAAGTAATGTAGTTTGGTACAGCTACACGTGCATG